TCTCAATTTTTTTATTGCTTGTCTCGAAAGAAACCTGCCATATTGTAACTAGTGTTTCAATGATATTACAGTTGATCGAAATGGTCATACGTTAAAATTTTGGAGTGTTTCCTGGTGAAGAAAATCATTGAGAGCTCGACATAATCAAAGAATCGACTTTTTCTGGCTTGAATTTATTGGCATTGTGGTCGCAAGGTCACGGAATGGACATTTGTAAAGCTAGGGAGTTCGAAGCAGTACAATTTACGATCAACCCAACTTAAATTTATCCAGTCATAATAGGTGACGAACAAAAAATTAGAACCATCTCTATTAAATGGCACACCATCAACTAACCTTACCACCACCAGTACGTTTGACGTGTTTATAGTTTGATGAAGTTTTATGTTTAGGGGCCGTTCAAGTATTACGTGAGCACTGTGGGGGGGCGGGGGGATCTTTGCTTTGCTTATTTTGGATGACATGGGGGGTAGGGGATTCTAGATGATGATTACGTCATCCGTAGTTGTTTACTTTCTTACACGAATGGCAACCCTCACATTGTCTTTACTTGAAAACGAAACGCATTTTTGGGGATTCCCGCAAATAATGCATTCGTTTAGTGAACAGCGCGCGGTAATTCCCCTACTCGCTTTAGAACCGAGTAGGCTAATTACCGCGCGGTGTTCACTTGTCTAAATTTCCTCTATCAGTGTATTGTTTCGTTTGGATACTATAGCGAGTAGACGTATTGTAAGCATAGTAAAGCTAGTTAACATTTGTGTTACCATTGATTCCATTAGCCAAAGTTTAATGTTTAAATAAGATGTCGTTTTACAAAGACAAATCCAAGTTATACCAAAAATTGTTTTAAAGTTAGTTAACGAAGTGTGGTGAAATTTCAAACTACGAGCAAAATCCGAAAAGAAACTAGATATTATTGTATCTAAGAGAATCGAAGAAGAATTGCAAGCGGTGACTAAGAATAAATACAATCTACTAAATTTTTTTCTAAGGTGAGTGACGAAATCATTTTAGGTTCCTGTGAGTACTAGAAATATGAGAAATCGTCAAAAAGTTTCTCTTTACTGATTAGAAAATATTATGGCAAATCTCAACGTATAGAGGTAATATTCATTATATTATAGATTTATTTCTTATGATTGATTCCGTCAATTGGTCACAAAGGTCACAAGGATGTTAGTTTTATACATATATACAGAAAACTAACACCTTGTATTTTGTGACCGGAACGAATTGTTCGTTTAAACATATTAGATTTAAAGTCATAGGGTTTTGTATTTACCATATATACAGGGTGACTTCGAAGTTGAGTCATTTATTTTAACAGTGAGTAGATCTGATCAAAAGAAATGTTTTTTTCCTTTACCATTTTTCTGGTAAAATTAAAGTAACAAAGTTATAGCCCTTTGGAAGTTTGAGTACCGCCCTGTCTCAATAATAATATTATGTGCTCGTGTTTGGCGACAACGGATATAATTCGCCTTATCGGTTCATCGCATCGGAAACAAAAAGCGAAAGAATTTGGAACGATGTTTTTACAATTATTTCATTCAGTTGTATACAGTCAGTGTCACTCGGTAGTGGATAGTGGTGTCTGTTGCGTGGCTCAAACGAAATAAAAAATGGCACATGTTTATGCGGATCGGTTTCCCAATCGAGTGCAACCAACCCCTCGTGCCTTTGTTAATGTAGTACAACGGGTTCGTGAATCATTTGACTCACATATGGACGGCATGCCGGTGCTCCAAGACCTCACGATCAAATACAGGTCCGCACTGAAATACTTGTCGGGAGGATACTTTATAAAACAAGGTAAAAAATTTTTTTTTATTTTTTTTTTTATTTTTACACACATATTTTGGTTTATCTTCCTTCTATCATTATCTGAAAATGAATGACTCAACTTCAAAGTCACCCTGTATATTGCCACACTTTGTATTTATGTAGCTTAATAAGAGAATCTCTAGCAGAAGCCATAGAATGTTTTTATTTTTAGGCAACCTGTAAACCTGCAGAAAAAACAAATTATACAGTCAAATATTAAAAAGAGGAAGAAGATAAAATAAAACCCGGTAATGAATCACAACACTAATGCGAAATTAATGAAAATACAGATAAACAGAGAGCAAAACCTTCTCAGGAAGCTAAGAAAAATAAGATTGCTCTACTCGAAAAAAATCTGAATGCTTTGCATTCTGCCAGAGATACTATGCCAAGTCGTGCTGAAGTTGATAAACAGATCATTAAGTCGCGCGAGGAAATATAAGCAGCAAAACAGTATTTAAACAGGAAGGTTCAAAACGCAGTTGTCCAGAAGAAACACAGGGATGGTATGAAAAGAAAGTTAGAAGATATTTGTCATCAAAATCCAGAAATAAAAAAAAGACTATCTCTGAGGGATTCAGTGGGACGTCCTCATCTTGAAAGCATTCAACATTCACTATTGAAAACAATCGCGGATATAGGTTTATTTGGGAGTGCAGCAGATGATAGAAGACGAACGGAATCAATTCGCAGCGTAACAACTCTTGATGAACTCACACAAGAATTACGTAAAATAGGATTTGACATTAGTCGCAGAGGGACATATCTTCGTTTGATTCCCAGAAAATCTAATTCTGCAGAGGGACGAAGACATGTATCGATAGTCCCTGTTAAGCTCATTCGGGCTCAAACTCACCACAAGAGCCGCTTAGATAACAAGTTCGCTGAAACATCAATCCATTATTTAGAGAACATAGCATCCATACTTGGACCAGATCAAGTATCTTTCATATCTCAAGATGATAAAGCTCGAGTCCCTATTGTCGTAACTGCGGCAAATAATCAACCACCTCTTCTAATGCACATGGAATATAGAATCAAATTGCCTGATCACGATTGGGTAATCGCTGAGCGTCATAAATTAATATCTGTTTATGCTGGTATCAAAATCACTTCCAATATGTTAGGACAACCGCAAGCCGTTGGATATTCTGGACCAACATTCATCGCTATTCGAAGTGGAAAGCATAGTTCATCTACTGCTAATACTCATGCTTAGGATTTCGAGACGCTTCTCGAACTTGAAAAGTTTTGACCATTAGCTAAAACTGACCATGGACTAGTAAAACCAGTGGTAATCATGACGGTTGATGGAGAGCCAGATGAAAATCCACTTTATCAAAAAGTCATAGGGTTTGCTATACAACACTTTAAGCGACATGATCTCGATGCATTGTTTTTAGCTACCAATGCTCCTGGAAGAAGTGCGTATAACAGAGTAGAGCGCAGAATGGCTCCTCTTAGTCGGGAACTGGCTGGTTTAGTATTGCCTCATGACCATTTTGGGTCTCATTTGGATGAACGTGGCGTTACAATTGATGAACATTTAGAAAAATCTAATTTCGAATTTGCAGGAAATGTATTAGCTGAAGTATGGAGTTCAATGGAAACTGATGGCTATAATGTTAATGCAAAATATGTTGGGGCAGGTGAACAAGATCTTCCTGATTTTCCAGACATTAAATGGTATTCAGAACATGTGCGTAAGAGCCAATACTTGCTTCAAATTGTAAAATGTAGAAATACAGAAAGCTGTCGTCCAAGAAGTGGCCTATTTAGATTACTAGACAATAGGTTTCTTCCACTACCTGTAAAAGTAAAACAAACAGTTGATGACTTGGTTTTGGCTGAAGGAGGGCAATTTCTTAATCTTCCAGTCAATTTAGCTCTACGCTTGAGTGCTTCACTCAAAGATTTCCTGCAAATGCCCTACGATTATTTTTATCCGACGGTAAAATTGAGGCTATCAAGTCGAACATGCAAAACGTGTGGTCTTTATCATGCTTCCGTCAAGTCACTAAATTGTCACATCGAAAATATCCATAAAAAAGTAAACACGCAAACTGATAGGAAAGTTAGACCTACAAGAGTCGCTGCTCGTCGTGCTAATGAACTGATGTGCATTATTCAAAATTTAGAGCACCATGATGTTGAATGGCTCGATGAGAACGACGTAGACATTCCAAAATCCGATAAAAGCGAGCAAACTCACAACACTGAGCAGCAATCGAAGCAATCCGATGTCATCGAAAACTTAGAATCATGGATTCGGGTTTCATGGACTGAAGACTGTTAATTTGAATTTAATATAGGTACCAAAAATTTAAATAAGTTTGTTATGTTAGTAAGATATAATATTTTGTCCTTTACCCTATGTTGAATACCGTATCAGTAAAATATAACCTCTATCCTAAATCTATTTTCTTATTTTTCAAATTATAATTATAACGTTATAATTATAATATTAAAAAAAACAATACATTAATTGAAAAATGTTTACGTAAGCATGGGGCAAGGGGGTAAGAGCTTTGCTTACTTTTGCTGACAAGGGGGATGGGGGGGTAAATATTTATAATAAATCTGCTTACGTAAAACTTGAACGGCCCCTTACATCAGGTTTGTTCACTTTCTTTCGTTGGTTAATACCGAACTCAAAAATCGAGTGAATCTTCCAATATATTTTTCTTACACATCATAAGCAGGTTGTGAAAACGTTAGACACCCTGATTGACATTGACAAACAAAAGTGCGACCAGGGATTCCGTTGATAAATAACCTTTTTGCACCGACGACATTGACGAGCACTGTTACCATCGTTAACTTTATACACAGAGAAATCCATATATCACTGAGGTCATCATGTGTACGCGAGAAGCATGCAATACGTATGTTATGAAGAGAGAGAGAGAGAAGCACCACGTTGTCTAGCAACGCGAGTGACGAGGCCACGGACACAGCTGCGCCTTTCCGCGTTGCCATCGACGTACTCCTAACATATGTATACGAGTACGGTAGAGATGGTACTTTCTGTTATTATCATTTTGTAACTGGATAGATTTAGGTTTGGATCGATCCTACGCCTTTGTCGTTTCACCATCAGCTGTTATATGTTGTCACGCTTTGACATGTCAGACTATCGTGGAAAGTAAGGTAGAGTAACATGAATAATAAGATCCTCTTACTTATTAATTTCTCCGACAATAACGCAGTCGTAATCTTCCTCACCACGTTTGCATCCTGGAATGAGCAACGAAACAGTTTTCTTCCCCGAAAGGCTAGATTCTGTTTCTTCCATCTCAGCTTGTTCATCATTAGCTATTGAAGGTGGGTGTATATTGCTCTGTCTATCCGCTGATAAGCTTTCAGATTCATCATCATCTTTACCATCAGGTTCTAGAAAATTTTCATCTGACATTACGTTAAAAATTGTTGTAGTGGGGATAACACCCTTGAAGCTAAAGTGCCTAGAATATTTCAAATTAAGCCAGCCTAAAGGTCGTAGTATATTTTGTCCATATACAGGGTGTTTCTTACATAAACAGACAAAAAAATATGGGTAATTGGAGACACTATTTGATGATTTTTGGTGGAAACCGTAATGCTCTAATGGCTACGGTTTCCGAGATATGATTTTTTTCGTTTTTTTGCTGAATTACCTATAATGGCGCAGAACTATCGTGATAAGTTTTTTGTTTGTTGAGATAATAACACAAGATAAATTCGAGTCGACAAAATGACTTATGAACTTCCAAAGTCGTAAAATAGCGCGGAGTGAATAAACAACTTTACATTCAAAATTCGATTACAAAAAACTATACCTCTGGTGATACTTAGTCTTATTCCAAAAAGTTCCGTGTTTCTTTGCCTTTCCAACGATATGCTACACGTCATAGAAATAATTTGTTTAGTGGTCAAAATTACAAAAAACAGTGTGTCGAGCAAATGATTTGTTGTGCGATTTATAGATTTTTATGTAATTTGAATCAGTCTTTTCGAAATGACTGGCTCCACTTGTTGAGAATAATGAAGTTAGCAAGAGCCAAGCAGCACACAGATTAGGAATACCTCTTATGCAGGTAGATTTGAAGTTAATGACATCCGGTACCTGGATTACCATAATACGTCTTAGGGTAATAATGACAACGGTTTACAACAACTGTACTATTTGGTTCAACAAGCAATTAATTTACTTAGCTATGATTTAAAACGATTATCATAAGTGTTCTAAACCGCTGCCATAATGTCTCATCCCATAACCCGACAGGTATGTATTCCAGGTATCGCAGCTCATTAATTTCAGATAAACTTGCCCGTGTTGGATTCCTGAGCTTACCTGATAATTACATTTCAATTACGATCCTCATCATCTCATAGATAAGAGAGTGCATTACGAAATTAGGACTAGTCGAGCTTTGACTATCTCTAATACCAGAAGTGTATTTGCGTTTGATTTTGTTGTCTCTGTTTTTGTTATTGTTAGTGTTTTCATCGTCATTATCAAGTTTCATTGTTGTCATAATGCCGAGGTTCAGTAACGAGGAATATGCTGATATGCTGCTGGCTAATGGTAGTGCTAACTGCAATTCACATGAAGCGCAAAGATTTTACCAGCAGCGATCGGCAGTTGCATCACGATGGGACCTTCGCAACAAAATATCGGCGACTGAGAGAAACCGGGAGCGTGAATTTTCAAGAGCCTAGAGTAAGTGGTCGACAACTCAGTGTGTCTACTGATTAGCAAATCCTAAGATCATATGATGCGGATCCTACCACAAGTACTCGGGTGGTGGCTGAAAGACTTGCTGTGTCGGTAAAAAAAGTCTGGTCTGTGTTACAGGCAAACCGGAAATATGCATTTCATCATTGTCCTGTACAAGGTAATGTAATTTTAAGTTTTGTCAGGTTTATGCAACATTTTAATAATCATTGTCATAATCACAGTCACAAGCATAAGAGTTGAAATCCTTATTTCTTATGAACACATGTATACAGCTTGTCAAAGTCATAGTCATAAAATAGTCTATGGTCATAAACATTAGCCCTTGTAAGGTTTGACACATGCAGTGTGCTACGTATTTATGTTACATGTCTGGACGAAGGTGACAGTACGAGAAGGCAGGAGTTCTGCAGATTCATTCTTCACACGGACGTGGACGACGGAAGCTTTTTGAAGAGGATCTTGTGGACAGATGAGTCCAGCTTCAACCATGACGGAATCGTGAATTTGTATAATCTACACTATTGTGTAGACCGGGACCAGAACCTACACAAGAAAAGGCAGTGCTCATTTCAAAGACGATTCAGCGTCAACGTGTGGGCCGGCATTATTGAACGAACTCTGATAGGATCTTATTTTTTTGCCAGACCAGCTAAATGGTGCAAATTACCTGGAATTCCTGCAGACTGCGTTGCCGGATCTGCTGCTGCCAATTTTACCCGATGCACCAATTATTTTCAGCATCATGGCTGCCCCGCACATTACGCCCAACCGGTTCGACAGTTTTTGGACAATGCGTTTCCAAACGTCTGGTTTGGTAGGGGCGGTCCTATATCTTGGCCACCACGGTCTCCAGACCTGACACCTTTGGACTTTTACGTCTGGGCCGAGCGAATGAAATGGTGTATGTGACAGAGGTGCCCAACAGAGAGGTGGTAATCTAAAGGATTGAAGCTGCCTTTTGTCAGATGAAGGAAGAGATCCTGCTACACACAACAACCGTCGAAATACCAAGATTTCGAGCATGTCTCAGAAATGAAGGCAGTCATTTTGAAAATACCTTATGATATGTTAACATCAAATTAAAACGTGAAATAAATTCTTTATTCCTGAAACTAATCAGTTGTTTTCTTGTCTATCGACCGCAAAACATCTTATTTCTATGATGTGTAGCATATTGTTGGAAAGGCAAAGAAACACGGAACTTTTTGGAATCAAACTAAGTAGCAGCAGAGGTATAGTTTTTTGTAATCGTATTTTGAATTTAAAGTTGTTTATTCACTCCGCTCTATTTGACGACTTTGGAAGGTCACAAGTCATTTTATGGAGAAGCTTTGTACAAACCATTGATCTCATCTGATTCAGTATGCCAAACAGAATCGACTCGAATTTATCTTGTGTTATTATCTCGATAAACAAAAAAGTTATCACGATAGTTCTGCGCCATTGTAGGTGATTCAGCAAAAAAAAATAAAAAAATCATATCTCGGAAACCGCAGCCCTTAGAGCATTACGGTTTCCACCAAAAATCATCAAATAGCGTCACGAATTACCCATATCTTTTTGTCGGTTCATGTAATAAAATAAAATCCAGACATTATATCCCTAAGAAGGGGCTGGAGGGAGTTGAATCTTTCTATAGGGAAACTTATCACTTTTCAAATCTATAGAAACTGGTCTTGAAAACTGTTTGACATATGAACCCAAAATTTAGCAGGGAGGAAGTATTGTAATTACAAAAAAATTGTTTTTTGGACGAAAAACCATGTCACTTACTTCAGTCTGTGTGTCGGTCTGTCTGTCTATCGATCTGTCTGTTGGTCCATTTGTCGGTCTGTCTATCGGTCTGTAACTCTGTATGTCTATCGGTCGTGTTCCGTACATGTGTGCTTGAGATTTACGGAATAGAATCAAAGATATATGGCCTGCGGGTTTAGTCATCATAAACATTGCCTATATTGGTTACTGTTAATGGATGAGTAGTAATAGTATGGTCACGTTAGCCCAGAAGGAAATGGCGTCAAGTACGTTGACATGGCACTGAATAATCATATAAAAAGTATGATAAGACATTTATTTTAATAATGTTTCGGTAAGCATACAGTAATTTTTAGTAGCTTAAGCATTTGTTGAGAATTTTTAGATAGATATAATTTAGGAGATCCCGTAAGAAGTCACCCTGAAATAATACAGATGTAAATATATACACTGCCACAGAGAAAAGATTTCACTTTCAAATTATGGCCACAGGTAGAGAAAAGTTTATAGTTTTTATATAATATACAGGGTGACTTTGAAGTTGAGTCATTAATTTTCAGATAATGATTGTAGAAGGAAGATAAACCAAAATATGTGTGTAAAAATAAAAAAAAATAATTAAAAAATGTTACCTTGTTTTATAAAGTATCCTCCCGACAATTATTTCATTGCGGACCTGTATTTGATCGTGCGGTCTTGGAGCACCGGCATGCCCTCCCCTGTGAGGTCTTAAGTCACCTGATTCACGAGCCCTTTGTACTACATTCAGCATTTTCGTAAACATGTGCCATTTTTTTTCACTATTCACTCACGCGTTACCGACTGACACATCTACTGAATACAACTGAATAAGATTGTACATTGTAGTAAAAACATCGTTTCAAATCTTTCGCTTTTTTGTTTCCGATGCGATGAACGGATAAGGCGGATTATATCCGTTGTTGCCAAACACGAGCACATATTATTATTGAGACAGAGCGGTACTCAAACTTCTAAAGGGCTATAACTTTGTTACTTTAATTTTACCAGAAAAATGTTAAAGGAAAAAAATATTTCTTTTGATCAGATCTACTCACTGTTAAAATAAATGACTCAACTTCGAAGTCACCCTGTATATTAAATAACAGATAACCTGATACTCGCTTGTCTTTTTGGAGGAGCGGTCCTGCGCTATGTTGGTTTTGCATTGTGTCATCTTAAAATTTGGAATGGAGTTTTAAGAGTAAATGAATAAAATATGCCTAATATGTGCGTAGAATTACTGGGGTTGGAGGTGTATAAATATACCAACATCAAAAAATAGGGATATAACCTCCCATACCCCTTGCAACCCTCAACCCCTAATTTTTAATCCCCACAAAAAGTTTTCAGAAAATTATCAGGATCGCCTGAAATGTCAAAAGACGAAGTTTGTGCGATTTTTATTTTCTTGTTTGTTTTTGGACCGATTTCTAAAGCTACAAAGCTTTTGCATCCTTGGCATAGTAGTAACATTGTGTAAAAGTTTCCGACCGGTACTTCTCAAGTTATAAGCGTTATAAGATTAGCGGACAGACCGACGAAAATCATTGACATGGTTTTTTGTGATGTACATGTTATATAACATCCAAAAAACATATAATATCATTTTCGAAAATTTTTGCTATTACAACACTTTCCCTCCGGTAGGCGTGGGAAGTAAAACATTGCTGTATATTATATAGTTCTGCTGCTATTGCTGGCTACTCTATAGCACCTACGTTATTCAGAGGAAATGTTGCCCATTTAGAAGCGTCTTAATAGATACGCACTCTGAGAAATTAAGCACTAGATGGAACTTATCTATTTACCATGTTCTTGTTGATATGACTGACAAACTGCAGAATCAGAAATGTTTCTCGCAACATGCATGTCGGATAGACTGAGCTTTTCTTTGTAAATCTCTATAGATGACCTAAAACAATGTTTTCGTTCGTATTTATCTTAATTCAGTTTCAACATCTGTTGATATTCATTCAATAAGTTCATGTTGCTACCAATGGTTTATATAAGAGGGGGATGTGCTCCGCTGAACGATAAACAATATTGATCACTTTTTCCACTTTGTCATGACCGATGAAGCTATAGCTTTCGAAAGGAGAAAGTCTAGTCGCAGTGTTATTACGTAAAAAACTTAAATAACGTCAAAAAACAACAAACTGGCAACTTGTTGACTAAGTAGCTCAAAGTGTGCAAATATTTCATTCCGTTCTTACTCACTATGAGCTTTGTGAGCGTCACCTATGTAGAAATGACTCAATAACATGTTCAAACGCGATGCTGCAGGTCGGTTCGCCAGAATGCTTTGATCGTTGCAGAATGTCGAGTCTGTAGAGTATGTCTCTGAGAAAATGTGACAGAAAGAAAATTGGCTTAGTAGCGAAGTAACAAGATCGCATCTGGATGATTGTGTGGTGATTGTATGTATTGATCTGCATGTCTATAAAATCTCACTATGTGAGAATGTTAATACTGAACATATATGCTTGCCATAGAGTGTATCGATTAGCTGTGCCAGACGGGTTATTTGTGTTATCCTTTATAAGTTATAAATTACGATTTTCCCCTGTTTTTTGAGTTTTCAAAAACTTTGATAAGCATTACGGGCAATCACCACCGCCACCTCGTTGTCTTTAATTGAGCTACATCACAGAAAAATTAAAAATGACGCATCACACACCAACGATTTCCGCAGTGCCTCGCATCTAAGCGCTGATTTGTATTTTCTACTTGACATCCCAAAATAAATATCTATAAAATTTGAACGGATGGAAATTAAAAATTATAATAATACTAACCAGGGATTTTCTTTTTTATCTCCCTCATTTTTGAAATTCAGCAAAATTGCATATGTAATTTCCAAGTTGTAGCATACATCTCAAGTAAGTGTATTTGAGACAAGAAACCAAGGGAGTTATAGCTACCTACGACTTACATCTTAGACCTTCAATAATGCTATCTCTGAAGCAGACGTCACATTATATCAGAGCCAGACTATGATAGCTCAAGCGTCATGATGTTTAGGCAACACCTACAGCTACACAACAAGTGCACATCAAGTAAATTACAGTTAGTTCCAAGTTGACATTTTATAGGAAAATATAATGTAATAATTTGTGAAAAAATCACGAGTATTACTCCAGCTGCAAGAACATTTTAAATGGTGAACAACATTTTTGCGCTATTTTTTAATACCCATCATTTCTAAAGGTCTGATGAGGTCCAGAAAGGTCGTATTTTTTCACTCTACAAATTGAAAATGTCAAACTATGCAAATTCTCTCAGAAAGAATGAACAAGCTACTTGCCGGCTTTAATTGGCAACAAGGCAGTCCTTGCAACATTGTTTGAGGACCGCCACTACGCAATTCTTAAGAAAAACCCATGAAAATGAAACACAAAATGTTAAATTCACGTTACGTTCACCGTTTACGATGTCAAAAACATCATAATGAATAACGTAAGCGGACATACCACCGCCATGATTGTTTTGGTCTGTCACAAATGACCTAAAGGCTATACCAGAACTAAATTTCTATGCAAGGTTACATAAAAATTTCACCTAAGACAGTTACAAAAATTTGGGTTTTTAGTATATTTGATGGGAGCAATTTGGTTAAAATATTTCAAATTCTTGCGACTAACAGCTGTACCGGAAGTAGATACAAGGTTGCTTATTTGATGTAGTACCAACGAAGAATAAACATTTGCACCATACTCGAAGCTGATGCAATATATCTAGTTTGAGATGACAGCATATTAAATTTGCATTTTATGGAAAATCGCAGTCTCTTACTGTTGCTGGACAAAATTCTGCTTGATAAATTCTTTGAGGACATTAATAAAATTATAGAATGCTTATACTTTAACAAACGTCGACTAAATTTTCAATTATCAATTTACTTGACTAGCGTGCGTAGAACACTGTTCCTTAGGCCAGCCCTGTTAATTGGGGGCTCTCGCACCATCTTCTGAGCAGTAGGACAACTACTTCTAGCCTTGCTACCATCACCGCGGTGCAGCGTGGTCATGCAATCGTCCTACTGCCCAGTAGAGTTTCTGTTAATAGTAAGGCCCGTATCGTCAGTCGTCCCTACAATTGTAGGGCGCCTTTATGGCCTCCTTGATTGTCATAGTTTTCTACTTCTCCGTGTCAGAACTCTATTTTGAGGTTATGTCACAAACATCTATTTGCATCAAGTTGTGCTTTCTTTTGAGTTATATCATGTTTTATCAGCCTGAAATTTCCTACAATTTGAAAAGAAAACATATCTTCACAATAGGAGAGCGCTGACGCTGACACGGGACAAGTGTAATATAGAAATTTTTGAAAGAGAGAAAGCAGTATGACAATCAAGGAGGCCATAAACGCGCCCTACAATTGTAGGGACGACTGACGATACGGGCCTGAGTAAACTGATTATTTACTCGATGTTTTTTTAAAGAATTAGCATTCTGTAATTCTATTGGTATTGAACAAATTTGTTAGGCAGAATTCTTTAGTAACAGTGAGGCACTGTTAGTTTCAATAAAATGCTCAGTAGTGGCGTCATGTCAATATGTTGTATCAGGTGTAATCCACATTTCGAGAAAGCCACAAATCATTTTTAATTCATGGAATTCGCTTCAATTTTTGTATCCGGGCACAAATAAAAAATAGGTTTTTGTAGATAAATCATGTGATATTATGACGTATTCAGGGATGCTGGCGACACACTTCTCATTTTTTCCGATATATCTCACTTTTACTTACTTTTCATTGAACGCATTCGCTTTTCTCACTATTTTCGCTCTCGCTGTACATATTGAACCTTATGAACGTTTCAAGAGGAGCTTGGATGAAGACAATTTTTTATAAAAATTAACTATGATCAAGTTGTTTTATGGATATCAATGAAATAGCTTGTGAGAGAAACACAATAAGCAAACTGATGTCGTCCTAAATCTAATATGACGAATGACGGAGGTCGCAATTTGGCTATTTGCAATTTCCATAGTCACCCCGATAATATGGGCATTAGATGAAATGGCTTGAGAGAAACACAATAAGCAAAATGTGATAAGGTTATCGACTGAAAGGGCTTGATGAGACAGATACAGTGAGCAACGTGACGTCATTTTAGATCCAATATGACGGCCGCCGCATATCGAGCAAAGTGACGTCATTCTAATATGATATGGTGGACGTTTAATATGACAATTGGCAATGCAATATTATTATGACATGGAAATGATCTGATGATGAAGCCAGGAAGTGGTCGTGGTAACCCATTGAATAGAGCCTGCTTGATTCCTAATGAGGAAGTACTTTAGTCTTACGGTCTGATGGTTATTGTGTAAAAAATACTCATAAATAAAAATTATATCAAATTTCAACGTTTTAACATTAGATAGTTCGCTAAAATGTCGGTTTAATCAATTGGACATGAATACTTAATAGAGTCTCCCGTATTTACAAGAATTTGTTATATATTTTGTTTCTTTTATGCATCGTATGCATTTGATCTTAAAATATGCATACATATGAATAATTATTTTTGCCCACGTCCATATAACAGTAACACAGACCTTATAAGAGTTATTCTCGTTTTTTCACACATTCTTAGTTATATTATCCATTTAAAGTTGGCGTTACGATATTCGATCTCTCAGCAAATTAAATAACTTTTTTATGTATAAACTCACTATTTCTCATTACTTTCTCACTATTTTTTTTGAAAATCTCACTTTTCTCACTTAAATTCATGCTTTGGGCCACCAGCACTTCTGCGCATTTATTGATGTAACATCAGAATTAGGATCCCAGCTTACACAAATCGTCCAATTTTTCTCTAGTCCGAGAAACATTTTACAAGAAATCGACCAGATTCATTAGATCCATTCCTTCAAAGACATCCTCTTATTAGTCCAATTTGGGCCAAAGGCGCAAATTTTGATTCCGGAAAGTCAATAGTAAATTCGGGCCTCAGAGACCGTTCTCACCGAAAGCCACTGACAATCGCAGCTTGACGGCAACCCAACTTGGCACATGCATTCAAATACAAGCGTTCATACCAAAAAACGGCAACGCGACCAGTTGCTTGACGGTTGCTAGCATTGCTGTCACAACTCAGTTTGTAGTTTCTCGCCAGTTGATTAAAGAGTCCATCTGTGGATTTCATTGTGACGTTTTAGATAACGTTCCGCCCGTATCACCAAAAAATAATCAATAATCGGATTGAAGTATTTCTGTATCATGTTTTTGTATTCTTTCAAGCGATCCAATTGGATCAGCAGAGTTGAAAACCTTCAGGAGATATACCATTGATATAAGAATTGTGACAAGCAAGTTAGTTGTGTACGAGTGATCACCAGACTCAAAATACAATATGTTCGGATACAAGATGTTGCTTTCTGGACATTTTTCATTGTGTACTTGGAGTTTTTTGGTAGATAAATCAAGTACGTTGATTGATTGATTTGGTTTTAGTATTAGTCAGTGTATTTAACCACAACATTGAAACGAGACTAGCAGATGCTTCATGAGAACACAAAAGAAACCGAAGCCGAAATCAAGGTGCAGTCGAGTTGCTTTTGGTGAGGACAGTACTTTACCTTTTCTCAAGAGGAAGTATTTTTGGTGGCTTTGGCATCTCCCATTCTTCCTTCGGCAACACCGTTCTTGACAGCATTTGCAATTCTTCCTTGCAATCGCATGATTCATGACTGCATTCACAATTAATCAGTAATGATAATGCTTTACTGACGCCTATTCTTTCACTTTTCATCGATAGAGATGATTTGGTTGGTGCTCTCGGCGGCTCTAATAATGGAATCTCCAAAGAAGTTTTGGTATTCTTTGTGTCCTTGTCGATATATACCGTAGGAACAGCTGCAAATACAGTCACGTTTTTGAAAAGTGAAGTAAGAGATTATGTAACATGAAGAAACATCTGTGCATCTTCTAAGAAACGACTGGGTAATTTGCAAATGCAAGGTCTTTTGAAATAAACATGTTCTTAAATTGTCCGTTTTGATACGACATCACTGAATGAATGACCATCCGTTTGACCTCTCTATCCAAGAGGATCATTCGGGAAGAGGTACCCTTTTGTGCTTGGGTTTTGAGGGAATAGAAAGTTTTCTGTTCTTTCACGCTTAAATTCTCAATTTCCTTCTTCATGATTCCTCTAATTATTCACACAGTAGCGATTTAGACTCTTGGTAACATAGTCAAGATTTCATCATAGATCAAGTTAGTATCTTTCAACATCTCACTAGTACTTTTTGTAATGAAACTATCTCAATCTTTGATCTCATACATCTTATCTAATTTATATCTCAAGTGTTTTAATTGAAGTTGGAATTTATAATTAACTATAACGAAAGTCAGTTTAATTTCATCGTTGATAGTTACTCATTTGGCTGACAGAGTAGATCAACAGAACAACCTAGTATTTTCTTTTCTTAAGTAATCTTTCCATCTTGAGAGTTAATAAACGAGTAATATTTAACTCTCGTTCCATTTCTTAGCCGTGTATAGTTCAACTCGACTACCAACCTAGTGTCAGACTTTTACTTGAGCATCTCCAGTCAGACACTCTTGAGAATGTATTTTCTAGAACAGTGCTGATAAGGTCATTGCTTTTGAAGATTCATCTGATCGGTTCTCAAATATTAAATGTATAAGTAAAGGGTAAAATCGACCATGTAAGTAATTGATCTTAGTGCGCGCCGATTTTAAGAAGCCTTCTCAACGTAAGATAGTGTGGGGGGGGGGGGTGCAATCGACATATTCTCGCATGCGACAATGGAATTTATTTTTTGGGATTTCTGTCAATGTATGTCACTTTTGTTAAGCTATTCGATATTAAGACTGCTGTTGAGGAAGTATTGTCAATGACGAAGAAAAGTGTTTAGGTATTTTTAAGCAAAACATCCTCCTACCTTGTCAACTGGCGTTTTCTCGAAAATAGACATAGGTGGCCAAAAGAGATTTAGAGTCAGATTTGCAGACCTTCCTTGATGCTTGAGGCTTCCTTGGAAACAATGGATATAAGGTATCTCCTTGTAAATAGAGAAAGAATAAAGCTTCCTTGATGGACGTTCAAGGGAGAATTTGAATTTTCATTCCGTAGTATACTGTAACAGCTCTCATCACAAGCTGTCATCGATGTCAGCAAGATTTCTCTTTGCTGGTCGCATCTATTTAGCATTTTGATGATAAACTTGGGACGATTTGTTTTATTTATTTATATCAATAAACAATGCAAAATAATAATCTGTTTGATTCCTCGAATTACAACGTATTCACAGAGAAGTAAAAAACTGAATATTGGCAACCAGTTCAACCGAACTGCTCTGCTCGTTGCAGATTGTAGATTCCATCTGTCATGGTCAAATTCAACTACTACTCTCACGAAAAGAAAAGGTACATATTTTATCCCCATATTTTATATTAAAAATAATAATCTATAACTAGTTGCCTATGTTCAGTTTTTTACTTCTCTGTGCTTGAGCTGTTATTCGAGGAAGCAAACACAACATTAGTTTGCATGTTTATTGATATATTTAGCACAAATAAACCAAATAATAATAAACGTCTTTATTTCCAAATAGACTGAGTATATAAAAAATAGCCAAATACGGGCGAAGTTCAGCTGTAGCTGCTCTTCCACTTAACCCGCTATAAAAAGTCTGTACAAAAGGCGAGTGAGACCTACTTATTTTACACATTACAATTACTAAATGTATTTGCAGTGTTTACATTAATACATCTACTATAAAAGAAACATAAACTTGTATCAATATTTTCCTGAAACATGGTTACTACTGCTGGGATAAGAGATATTTTTTTAATTGAGTTTTGAAACTTGAGATGCTCAGAGTTTTATATTGTACCGGAAGGGTGTTATAAATGGAACAAATTTGGTAGCTGAACGATCGTTCAAATTGGGCTGTTCGGAATATCGGCGGTGTCAACAACCCCCTGGATCTTATATTGATGTTATGCACATCTGTTCGAAATGTAACTTTTTCAAATAAGTAAGTGGGGGTCTTATACAAAATTATTTTATGATATAATGTTGCGGCATGCAAAAATCTTCTTGTTTCCATGTTCAACCAATTCGCATCTTTCAACTTATGCGATATTCGGTCTCGTCTTCTAATGCCATATATTAATCTGAGGCAAGAATTCTGCGCAACCTGAATTTTTTGTTTGTAACTGGCAGGGGCACGGGCCATACAACATATCAGAAAAATTGAAGTCCCAAAGAAACATCTTTCTGACATCGATGACAAGTGTTACGGCGTACCTACTGTGAAATGAAAAGTTAAATAGTCTCTTGAACGTTCCTCAAGGTAGCGTCATTCTTTCCGAGGAAGCCTCAAGGAAGGTCTATTAATCTGACTGTGAGCTGTGAAGAACATATCAAACGAATAGACTATTTGGCAAATTACTGATAAAAAGTTAATATAATATGCACATAGTAGATTATATGACCACCAGTGTGGGTCAATTTAAAGGGCCATTCGGCAATAAAAACCTCAAGACTGACTTGATGTTTTTTAAGAGTTTCAACTAAATGAGCTCTAGTAGATCAAATTATCTATAACGATATGACGGAATAATCACTGTTTTTTGCGAAGGGATTTACTTAGAACTTAGAAGATAAATATATCTATATATAAGTCTACCAATTTATTTATTATATAACACTTCTTAATCCAGTCAAAATAAAAATTGGATTTGCAAAAATTCCTACAAACCTAAAAATTGGCTTACACTCACTCCTCATATATCCTTGGTTTTATTTGAGTATTCAAATTGTATAACGACTTGGGAGCTTACGCTGAATACTCAGCATTGAGGAAAAAATCTAAGCAGTTGATAGCCAAAGACTTTCAAAGTTACGTAACAAATGTAGAAAATGAAATTCAAGTTGCTTCAACGAAATTTTGGAAGTTTATAGCAAATAGTAAAAATTACGATACCATCATCCCCCATGAAATAAGATACAACAAAAAATTGCTAATCAGCCAATCGAAATCCGTAATTTGTTTGCCGAGTACTTCAGTAACGTTTTTTCTACATATAGTGTTCCTGACAGTCCTATGGATGAAGGTATACCCGAAAATTTAAAAACAATCCGTGAAAAGCAAGAACATGAAATTAGTGATACTGCTCGAAATGACAATATACCAGCAATATTCATAAAAAAATGTAAAATGAATTTATATAAACCTGTCACTTTAATTTACAACACCGCTTTTGAACTTAACATTCCCTGATGCTTGGAAGAAATTCTCCAATACACCTATTTTTAAAAGTGGAGACAGGTACATGGCAGACAATTACAGGGACTATTAGCAAGTTGTGCATATCTCGAAGATGCTCAGAAAGCTAATTTATAACAAAATACTTTTTGATGTAAAAAATGTAATCATTCAGCAACAGCATGGATTTTTTCCGAAAAGATGCCTGGATTCCAATTTGCTTTGTTTTTCTGACTTCGTTTCCGATGCTTTGGATAGAAATTTCCAAGTCGATGCTATTTATACCGACTTCAGTAAGGCTTTTGATCGAGTTAATCATAATTTGCTATTGACAAAACTTGCTGGGTGTTGATAGCCCTCTTGTAATGTGGGTTTCATCTTATTTGCACGATAGAGAATTATTCGTGTGTATAAACGGGTATAAATCCAGAGTCGTTATTCCATTATCGGTAGGTCCTCAGGGTAGCCACTTAGGTCCATTACTATTCTTAATTTATATAAATGATATCGCACAATGCTTCAGCCATTGCCAGTTTCTTCTTTACGCAGATGATTTAAAGATGTATTGTATAGTTGAAAGCCTTCAAGACTGCGTCAAAATACAATCTGATATCGACAAACTCAGCGATTATTGCCACTTAACACTAAGAAATGTTTTTTATCACATTCACGAAAAAAAAGAAACCTATTTCAGTATGCGTATCAGATAGAGAAAGTCAACATTAATTCAGTAAGCAACATTCGGGATTTGGGTGTTTCTCTAGATACCAAATGGAGCTTCGATAGTCATATAGATGGAACCATAAATAAAACAAATAAGATGCTCGGCTTTATCAGAAGACACTCTAGATACTTCAACAACCCTTCTACCCTGTTATCACTATTGCGTTTATACATACTAATCTTTCTTTCGCGTCTATTATTTGGAACCTACAGTACGAAGTCCACATAAGGAGAATTGAGTCTGTTCAACATAAGTTCTTGCGAATTCTGGCTTACAAGGCGGGTATCATTGTCCATAATCACGATTATAGCTTGGTAATGGAATATTTCAAAATCTTACCTCTGGCTAAGAGAAGGATATTATTTGATTTATGTTTTCTTTACAGAATCTTAAACAATCAAATTGACTGCTTTTACCTTTCATCGAAAATCAATATAAATGTACCGATAAGAGTAAATCCTAGACACTGTACATACTTCAACATTGCGTTTTGTAGAACTAATATTGGTTTAAACTCTCCACTGGTACGAATGCAAAGAAATCTCAACAACTATGGCAAATTCGCTGATATTTTTGCTTTAAATACGTAATAAAAAACAGAATGTTGGTCACTCCCTTGTAAGTTACGTTCCTATTCTTTGTAATAATTTTTATTTTACTGAATGTTTATATTTCATATATGTTATGTAGATCAATCCTTACATTTTAGTATGTTTAACTACACGGTGAATGTCTATTTTGGAGATTTTCTCTGTTTGACGTCCCTAATTTGTTAAATAAATAAATAAATAATTAGAAACGTCAAAAATATTACTTTTTGTCATATTTATCTAGAAGGAAAGATATACCACAAAAGTATCTTATACAAAGACTGCATAAAATCCAATTATCTA